GTCAGAATATAATAGCCCGACGGCGCCAATAGGGAAATGGAGTGCTCTTTTCTCGCTCTGCCTGCAGGGCTGTCAGAATATAATAGCCCGACGGCGCCAATAGGGAAATGGAGTGCTCTTTTCTCGCTCTGCCTGCAGGGCTGAAAAATGAGGGTATGGACAGCTTTAGAGGTAGGAGAGGTTCCCCACTACTCTCTCTGCAAAAAGTGGAATTTCTCTTTTAATCGTAGCTTTTGGCTCCATGCTATGGCGGCAGCTTAACCCATGTCCACCAAAACGCTGGTACCGGGCCAGAAATTGGCCGTCTCTATACAGTTGGGCCCTGTTACTGCTATTTACAATGGACTAAAGTGGCTACCAACAGGAGGAAACGTGTGCTCCAGGCCAGATCAGGGTCTCTGAAACAGTCCTTACCTCAAAGCTAATGAAGTTTATTGTTAAAGCAAACCGCTCTCTCATCCCGAAGACCGTTTTAACCCAAGTTTGACGCACTGTGAAGGAAACCCGCCAGTGGGGGCCTGCACTTCAATGTTCTCCAAATAACGGGGTGACGTCTGAACTATACGCCGTCACAGTGCAAAAAGCAGTTTACATTTTCACAAACGATTCACCTTTCTCACAGTTTGTTTTTCTAACGTGTAAAATAAAGTTTTCACTGTAAATATTTTAAAGATGAGTAATGTCCGGGAGAGATTTATTTGTTTTGTTTTCTTCTTTGTAAATAAAATTGAAAAAAAAAAAAAAGCTTGGGGAGATTTAATTTGAGTTTATTTTTTCAAGGTTAGAGCAGTATTGATGGGAGGATTATGGGAAAAAAATGTTATAAGCTTGTTTGTTTTATGCATTGAAATTTTTGTTTTTTGTTACGTTGTTTATTTTTTTTAACAATAAAACTGGAAAAAATTGTTTTTTTTTTTGTTTCTATGTGCATTGATGTTTTCTTTAAATTATATAAATGTGTGAATGATTTATATGTATATACAGGAGACATAAATTTACTCATTTGGGGTGTATATATATTTGATTTTATTTGTCCTGTATGTACATTTTTTTCTGTGTGAATAGGGCAAAAACGAATGTTGTTAGTAATGATGCACCGACATCGGAATCGGTCCAAATACTGAGCATTTTCATGAGTACTTGTGCAAAGGCTCAGATACCAAAAACCCAATACCGGCGCTTTGTTCAAATTGAAGCGGCTGCCTTACGACCTTCCAGCGCCTATCAGGCCTGCACATCTCCCCCTCCTAAGACCCTCTGACCAAGAGGTATGTACAGCAAAACACGCAGCTACTTTAGAAATATTGCCTGCTGTTTCTGTCCTGTGCTTTATTCTACATTGCTTTATAATATATTGCTGGGATTTGTAGTCCTCTATAGCTGATGGTAATATTCTACATTGCTGTATAATGGATTGCCGGGATTTGTAGTCCGCTATGGCTGATGGTAATATTCTGTATTGCTGGGATTTGTAGTCTGCTATAGCTGATGGTAATTTTCTGCATTGCTGTATAATGTATTGCTGGGATTTGTAATCCGTTATAGCTGATGGTAATCTTTAGTGCTGTATAATGTATTGCTGAGATTTGTAGTCCGCTCTAGCTGATGGTAATATTCTTCATTGCTGTACAATGTATTGCTGTTGTTTTTTTTTTAGCCCTCTATAGCCAAGGGTAATATTCTGCATTGCTGTATAATGGATTGCTGTGATTTGTAATCTGCTATAGCTGATGGTAATATTCTGCATTGCTGTATAATGGATTGCTGGGATTTGTAATCTGCTATAGCTGATGGTAATATTCTGCATTGCTGTATAATGTTTTGCTGGGATTTGTAGTTCTCTATAGCTGATGGTAATATTCTGAATTGCTGTATAATGTATTGCTGGGATTTGTAGTCTTCTATAGCTGATGGTAATATTCTGCATTGTCATATAATGTATTGCTAGGATTTGTAGTCCGCTCTATTTGATGGTAATATTCTGCATTGCTGTATAATGTATTGCTGGGATTTGTAGTCCTCTATAGCTGATCGTAATCTGCATTGCTGTATAATGTATTGCTGAGATTTGTAGTCCCTGGTCCATAGTGATCCACTAGCGTCCTAAAATCATTACTCTGTATTGCTTTAGAAACATGACGCATGTTTTTTAGTGTCACATGATTGCTAATTGGTATCGGTGAGTACTTCAGGAGAAGTATCGGTACTCTTGCTTGGTCTGGAAAAAATGCTATTGGTGCATTGTCAGTTATTAGTATATTTTCTTTTCAGGTTGAATGTAATTCATTGATAAGGTTAGTGAATCAGGAAAATACCACATTATGGCCACTAGATGGAGCCAAGGATCATAGGAGGTGTAGAATTATTTTCCACGGTCCTCAGCTCCATCTAGTGGTCATAATTGGTATTTTGCTGATTCACTCCAATCTTATAAAGTCATTGCATTCAACCTGAGAAGAAAATATACTCATGGGATTCGTTTATGCCCCATTCACACAGAACACACATACATGTTTCCTGTTTATTAGTGTAACTCGGTGACCTCACCTTTTGTTCTTATGAACAAAACATAGGAGACTGCTGTTGCCGAAATTTCCTCCTGATGTCAAGGACTTTGCATTTCTAGATCTAAATACTTGATATGGGTCAGTATAACAGCTAGGTGACTAGTGTTCAGAAGGAGGTCAGCAGCGCCAGCCTGGTCACCCAGCACAATAAGGTTTAGACAACAACAAAAACTTTTGAACATTTCAACGCTCCTAAAGGGAAAAAAAAAGCTTTTGTTACCGTCTGTGTATTATCCCATCACTTTTTGTCCCTTTGACATACAAAGCTGACCGAGGTTCGAACTCTCCCCCACTATCCCCCCAAAAAAAGAAGCTATTGAGCTTTTAAAGTGACTGTCATAAGGAAATCATGGGCACTGCCATTGCTGGCCTCCTGAAAATGCTAAATGCCTGGCTGTATGGCAGTCACAGAAGAAGCCTGCTCAGCAAAGTGTCAACACACAGCTAGGGAACTATCATGATCAAAGGAGAGTTCAGAAATGGCAGCCTCCTTTATTCTCATGAGTGTCCTTTTAAGCAGCGATTGCCACTCTTATGAGTATGCAGTGTACTGAAAAACCACACTGTCCTGTCTTCATTTGATGATTAGTACTCCAAGACCAGAGCCAGAATTAAAGTAGTATGCAAAGCCAAACTTTTTTTCCAATAATGAGTCCAGATCAAACAAATATGCATTACCCAGCAATGTATTTATTTACATTTTCTGCCCACTTACAATCATGTTTCTGAAAAGCTGCTTCAAAGTCTCTCAGCTTCCCTCAACTTCCTGTCCAGTACAGGATCACAAGGGACAGAGCAGACTCCAGCAACTGTTCATCTACCACCTTGGAGAATGGAGAAGACGGGGCCAGGGGAAAGGAGAGTAGCTTGATTTGCTGGGTCTGTGGAGATACACACAGCTTACTAGCACACACAAGGGTGACTGCATAGCACTCTGAGAAAGGAGTCACTCTAAAACAGGAAGTCAGGACCAGCTGATTCTGCAGGAAACTTAAACATAAGGAGCAGCATCCATAGTAAGTGATTTCATCAGCATTTGAAATAACTTAAAAACTTTTTTCACTTTAACCTCCCTGGCGGTATTCCCGAGTGTAGCTCGGGGTTACTTTTCCATACCATAAGCGGTAACCCCGAGCTACACTCGGGAAAGCCGCATAGCATTTACTTACCTTGTCCCTCGAGCCGCGCTGTGTTCTGCTGGGGGTATTGGTGATGTCTATAGGTGACCCGGGTGCTAAGGAGGGGGGTATTGGTGATCAAGGAGGTTGACAAGAGGGGTATTGGTGATGTCCATGAGTGACCCGGGTGATAAGGAGTGGGGTATTGATTATCAAAGGATGTTGACCTGGGTGATAAGTAGGGCTGCAACAACTAATCGACATAATCGATTATAATCGATTATTGAAAAAGTTGTCAACTTTTTCAATAATCGATTAATCGGCTTCCGATCAGTTGGCCCTGTTACGGGGGTCATTGGTGACCAAGGAGGTTGACCCGGGTGATAAGGAAAGTATTGGTGCTGTCCATGCATTACCTGGGTGATACTATGGGGGTATTGGTGATGTCCATGGGTGATAAAGGTTTTGGTACCGTACATGGACGTCACCCATAGACATAAGATAACCATATCACCTGGGACGAGTGATAAGGGGGGGATTTAGACATAAGATAACCATATCATTCGGGATGAGTGCTAAGGGAGGGTATTGGTGATCTCCATGGTCGTCCGAGTGATAAAAGGTAGTATTGGTGATCTCCATGGAAGTCACCCATAGGCTTAGGGCTTGTTCACACCAAGCACATTCCAGGAACAGAGCAGTTACAGACCGGATCAAAACGGAATCCAATGTATTCCAATGGTATTATGTGCTCTAGTTCACACCACAGCGTTCAGTTCCAGAGCATGTAAAAAAACTGCAGCAAGCCCTATTTTTCCTGCTCTGGAACGCAAGCAAACGCATCAAAAAGCATGCAAATGCCCTGAAAGCCCTTTCTTTTACAACCAAAAATGGCCTAAAACGCAGTATAACACACTGCACTGCGTGTGCAGAAACTCATGCAGATCTGGTCTGCATTTGGGGTGAACAAGCCATTAATATATATATCTTAAGTGTATGGGTGACGTCAATGGATCACCCCCCCTTGTCACTTGGATCGACCATGGACGTCACCAATACCCTTCTTCCTTATCACTTGCGGTAATCCTCTTGATCACCATTTCCCAGTGTGGCATGTCCTCATCCACACGAACGCCGCTGGTGATCTCCATTGTCACACATGAGGAAGAGTCAGAACGTTGAGCTGTCAATAAACCTCACAGTCACACAATGCGCTCCACTCTCTAGATTACGTAACCGCTGCATAGCACGCTGGGAGCAAACTTTCACGTTGCGCCTCTGGCGTCACTGAATGGGGCGCGAAAAGTATTCTGGGAAGTGTTGTTCTCTCCCGGTCATCTCTATGGAGCTCTTTGCGTGTTGCGTTGCACGCCGGGAAATGTAGTTCCCAGCTCAGCCCCGCGGATTCTCTCCTCACCGACATGGCGGATAGGAGGCGGCGGAGGAGACGCGCGTCCCAGGACAGTGAGGAGGAGGAAGAAGAGTCCGGGAGCGAGAGCGCAGGGTCTGTTGAACAACCGGGCCTGCCTGCCAAAATCGAGACCCGAGAGGTCGTGGAGACAGTTAGAGAAGGCGACAAGTCCGAGTGTGTAAGTGTACCTAGGCCGACGGTGTATATTGAGAGTGCCCGGGCCCCTTCATTACTGACTCCCATTCAGTCAATAGAGCAAAGTGCAGGAATCTTTGACAGCCAATCGGAATTCGTTTTACCGACACCGGGCCAGTGTAAGGCAGAATGTGATGTTGCTATGGCTACTGCGCCTATTTTGCGAATAAGCTATGTGTAGAGAATGTGTATATAGACCAGCACAGTGCACACAGCTGGGCCTACTCATGTAGGCTCTATTTACACTGAGGAAGTGCATTAATGCACATCACATCAAAGTAGCACTAACTTAATTTAACGTAACTTAATTTGCTGTTATGTTCATTTTTATGTGTTTTCTTCATGCCGCTTTACAGCAGTGAGGGGTGATGCAGTAAAATGCAGAAATGCAAACATCAGGCCTGCAGGCCGAATCTGGCCCGCCAGGTTATTTTATGCGGCCACTGCACCTCTCCTGCAGCTTTACATTTTTAAACGGAAGCCGGTGCTGTAAACAGCCACCTGAGAGTCCGCACAACCCTGCATTGAACCTGCACAGCCACCTGAGAGTCTGCACAGCAACCTGAGCGTGCAGAGCCCACCGTAGACCCTGCACAGCCACCTGAAAGTCTGCACAGCCCACCACAGACTATGCATGGCCACCTGAGAGTCTGCACAGCCCACCATAGACCCCGCACAGCCACCTGAGAGTCTGCACAGCCCACCATAGACCCCGCACAGCCACCTGAGAGTCTGCACAGCCCACCATAGGCCCCGCACAGCCACCTGAGAGTCTGCACAGCCCACCATAGGCCCCGCACAGCCACCTGAGAGTCTGCACAGCCCACCATAGGCCCCGCACAGCCACCTGAGAGTCTGCACAGCCCACCATAGGCCCCGCACAGCCACCTGAGAGTCTGCACAGCCCACCTGAGAGCCTGCACAGCCTGCTACATACCCTGCATAGCCACCTGAGGGTCCACACAGCCCACCATAGACCCAAAGCAGCCCACCTGAAAGCCCACACATCCCACCATAGAACCTGCAAATTCACCTGAGCGTCTGCACTATTACACTAATTGCCATTATTTTTCCTAGACTTCTACTTTCACAGCTAGTTATTACTAAAACCAGTAATAATCAAATACAGAGGCAATTATTTAACACGATAGACGAGTAGATACATTTATATAGTCTTATAGCTACAACCGGCTCTTTGAGGGCAGCCATAATGCTCATGCGGCACGTGATGAAATTTAATTTGATCCCCCTGATCTACAGTGAGTAGACAGGCTTTCCCATCAAAGCACACATGGGATACAGTGTAGTGTGTGATTGTAGAAGCCCTTTGTGCAAAGGAATGAAGGTTTGGGGTCCACCCTGGTGTTTACACAGGCTGCCCAGGATATGGCTTGATGTATGAATGTAGAGGCCTACATAACGGGGGAAGGGAGGATCTTCTATAGCAGGGGTAGGCAAACTCCAGCCCTCCAGCTGCCGTAGAACTACAAATCCCATAAGGCATTGCTGGACTCTGACAGTCACGAAGCTCCGGCAGCTCACTCATTGCAGTTTGCCCCTCTTCACATAAGGGCGGGACAGCAGTGAGTGAATAGCCGAATGCCGCTGAGCGGCGCTCGGCTATTCTGCTCGGTACCTCCATGGTACCAAACAGTATAGGAAATCAATTAAAAAGGTTAAAAAAAAGATTTTAAAAATGTAAATAAATGTTAAATTATCAAAAATAAATAAACAATTCGGCGGAGCTAACAGTGATAGGTAGCTCTGCCCAACTGTTTCCTATTGGCCGGCACCTGCTAGAGTCTTCTAGCAGGTCCCCGCCAATGAATAACAACTTAATGACAGTTCAGCGTCCCCAAATGATGATCTCTTATTACAACTGGACAGAGCCAGCCGTGAGATCACGGCTGGCTCCGCCCAGCTGTCATTTGCGAGGTGTTTGGCCAGCCTTTTGCCGCTGTCAGATTCCTCGATCAGCGCTCGTAGGCGTTAATAGTGGAATCTGTTCTATTTTCTGACGTCCGAACGAAGAAAATAGAAAGGTGTATACCCAACTTTAGTTGTGTTTAAGTTGTTTAGTGATAAATATGCAGACATTTTTTGTGGAGTCACTTAGTGAGAAGCAAAATATTTTAGCGCCGGAAAGATATCACATCTGTCAGGGCAAAAAGGTAAGAGTACCCGACCAGCTTGCATCTACAGAAACTATAACAATCTGGTGATGAAGCCATTAGTGGCAAGCGGTTTCAGACTTTGTCTTATGGAGCCTAAAATCATATACACCACAACTATATGGGCCAGTGATTGCGTTGTCCTATGTTAATGATTGTTTTCTTTTAAAGGAAAGCGAGGATGGTATTGAAGGCGATGGTAAGTGTTCCACACTTCCGCAAGTATTTGAATTACAATATGTAGTACAGGACTGTGAGCTGAGTGCGTGGCATACGTCATTCTCTTTTAAACCACGTTTGAAAATTTGCAACTGTGGTGTGGTTTTTATGTTATGTATGTATGTGAAGAATGCACCGAAATTAAATTTAGACCAAAACTGACATTTCAAAACCGAATGCCTTTTTTTACATAAAAAAAAAATATATATATATCCCCTTTTGAAAAAAACTGAAAGATAGAGTCCTTAATCTTTTTCTGCAGCCCCTGATATGAAAGAACAGGATTCTTCTATACTGAGTGCTCCTGTCCATTCATAAACTGAGGAGATAGTAGCAGTTACTATGTCCACAATCATGAATGAACAGGAAGTGATGTAGATCACTTCCTGTTCATTCATAAATGAGGACACAGTAAATACTATGTCCTCAGTTATTTACAAACATTGGCATGATCGGAAATGATCACAGCGATGTCTGAGCAGGAAGGAAGACATTACAATCACAATACAATTCAAGAAAAGATGATCAGGAGGGGTTACAATATTTCACTTATCTGCTGATCCTCCCAGCTCTCCATCCTGAATCGTTCCGGAGGTCTCCTCCTCCCCGCTGACATTGTCAGTCCTGACAGCTTCTCCTTGCCGCTGGAAAATCGGTGCATTCCTAAAAAAAAAAAATATAAAGTGTGTGTATAATATATAAATACTAATGTATGTGTGTGTATATGTATACAATTACATACACACACATACACTGTGCATTCAGAAAGCATTCAGACCCCCTTCACTTTTTTTCAATTATGTTATGTTGCAGCCTGATACTACAGTGGTTTAAATTCTTTTTTTTTCTCATTAATCTACACTCAGTACCCCATAATGACCAATTGAAGTCAGAATTTTTAAAATGTTTGTGAATTTATTAAAAAGGAAAAACTGAAATATCACATTTACCAAAGTATTCAGATCCTTTACTCAGTACTTTGTTGAAGCACCTATGGCAGCAATTACATCGGGTTCTTGGTCACTTCTCTTACTAAGGCCCTTCTCCCTCGATTGCTCAGTTTGGCCGGGGCGACCAGCTCTGGTTGTGCCAAACTTCTTCCATTTGATAATCACGGAGGTCATTGTGCTCCTGGGAACCTTCAGAAATTTGTTTTGTACCCTTGCCCAGATCTGTGCCTTGCAATAATCCCGTCTCTGAGCTCTGCAGGCAGTTCCTTTTGACCTCATAGCTATTGCTCTGATACAGTATGCATTGTCAGCTGTGAGGCCTTCTATAGAGAGGTGCGCGCCTTTCCAAATCATGTCCAATCAATGTAATTTACCTCCCATGGACTCCAATCCAAGTTGTAGAAACATCTCAGCAACGATCAAGAGAAATGGGAGGCACCAGGGCTAAATGTAAGTGTTAATCCAAAGGGTCTGAATACTTATGCCAATGTGATATGTCAGTTTTTCCTTTTTCATAAATAAAGACATTTCTAAGATTCTGTTTTTCGCTTCGTCATTATGGGGAACTGAGTGTAGATTAATGATCATTTTTTTTTAAAACAACTGTAGTATCAGGCTGCAAAATAACAAAATTGAAAAAAAGTGAAGGGGGTCTGAATACCTTACGAATGCTGTATATATGTATGTGCAGGGCTTGAAAAATGTCATGGTGTCTCACCAGTCAGTCAAAAATTTCACCAGTCAGCATGACCGGACTATAGCCTTGCAATTTATGTTAAACATTTTTGGGGACAGATAGAGCTTTCTTTTGGAGGTATATAATCACCACGGGGGGAGATTATTTTTTTTAACTATATAATGAAAAAAGTACCATAAATAAAAGTTTCCCTACGTTATAAAACATTTATTCTTACCCATATTTTTAGTAAAACATAAAAGTTGGGGTCACGTCGGGTAAATAGACACCAAACATGTCATGTCAATTGTGTGCGCCCGCAAAATCGCAAAAAACGCCCATAGGCGACGATTAAACCGCGTTTAGTGTTATCAGTGATTAAAGGAGAACTATGGGGTTAGGGCTTTTCCCCATAGTTCTCCTTAGGGTAACGGGAGGACTCAAACTAGCGTCCTCCCGTCACCCTAAGCTCAGTATAACGCTAGCTACTGCTCGCGGTATACTGAGACGCTGAAACGTTACAACATTACAACAACATACAACTTTATTGCTAATACATGGGGGGCTAAGAAGCCCCCTATGAGATAGCTGATTTACATGACAGGTCCTCTTTAGGAAGACATCAGGGGTCTCCAAGACCCCTAATGTCACCTAGGGACCTCCAGAGAAGCTGATGAAGCAGAGATCGGCTTCATCAGCTTCTCTAGCTGGAGAGTGACACTGAATGCAGGAAGTGATGTAATCTACATCACTTCCTGCATTCGGGGACTGAGAGGAGATCAAAGGGAGTTCGTATACTGAACTCCCTTTTGATCTCCTGTCACAGAGCCGTGCGGGTCCCGGCCACATCGGGCACAGCGGATCTCGGGACCGGCAACGGCAGTGACAGCTTCTGATACAAGCGATCGAGCGTCTCTCGAGACGCTCGATCGCTTGACTGTAAAGCTCCCGGCCGGGAAGCTGCTCGTCTCTGGCTGTCGCTTGCTAGTTATTGTAGATTCTACCTTGTTCTCCTCATTGGTTGGCTTGTAACTTTGTGTGGAGTGGCTAGAGTCAGTATCAGTGGTTGCATGAATGAACAAGACTTTATTCATCTTGTGTGTTTGCCCTTTTGTGTGTTTTTGGGACAGGCAGGAATTAGGCTTTATGGTCAGCCAGCTCCGCAGCTGCAGCTCTATTGAGATGTTGCCCAGCATGGATTTGTGGAACTGGCTGTGCCCTTTGTAGCTGACAGGAATTGTGCAGTTATGTGTATGGCTTCTTATTTTATTCTGTCTGCTTAAATTGCAGCCGTGCTATCAGACTACGAAAGTGCTGAGGAGTCTGAAGTAAGTATCCTAAAACTAATGCTCGTTAAGAGGTTTGTGTATGCTTAGAAATCGTTCAATCTGCTTTGTTGCTATCTACTAAAAGTCAGTCTATCCAAAACTGGTCGTTCTGCTTTGCTCGGCCTACTGTATGTCACTCAAGCAGATATGTATTGCTCCTGACAGTCCCTCAGGACAGTCCCTCCTGATGTCTGTGTTAGAGGGCCCACCATAGTAAAAATTCACATTGTAAGACCTGGCACTTTTATAAATCGGGCACCCGACTAATTCCTTCTATTTCTGATTAGCTTCAGAAGCTGGGGTGCTGACATGGGGTCACGTCGGGTAAATAGACACCAAACATGTCATGTCAATTGTGTGCGCCCGCAAAATCGCAAAAAACGCCCATAGGCGACGATTAAACCGCGTTTAGTGTTATCAGTGATTAAAGGAGAACTATGGGGTTAGGGCTTTTCCCCATAGTTCTCCTTAGGGTAACGGGAGGACTCAAACTAGCGTCCTCCCGTCACCCTAAGCTCAGTATAACGCTAGCTACTGCTCGCGGTATACTGAGACGCTGAAACGTTACAACATTACAACAACATACAACTTTATTGCTAATACATGGGGGGCTAAGAAGCCCCCTATGAGATAGCTGATTTACATGACAGGTCCTCTTTAGGAAGACATCAGGGGTCTCCAAGACCCCTAATGTCACCTAGGGACCTCCAGAGAAGCTGATGAAGCAGAGATCGGCTTCATCAGCTTCTCTAGCTGGAGAGTGACACTGAATGCAGGAAGTGATGTAATCTACATCACTTCCTGCATTCGGGGACTGAGAGGAGATCAAAGGGAGTTCGTATACTGAACTCCCTTTTGATCTCCTGTCACAGAGCCGTGCGGGTCCCGGCCACATCGGGCACAGCGGATCTCGGGACCGGCAACGGCAGTGACAGCTTCTGATACAAGCGATCGAGCGTCTCTCGAGACGCTCGATCGCTTGACTGTAAAGCTCCCGGCCGGGAAGCTGCTCGTCTCTGGCTGTCGCTTGCTAGTTATTGTAGATTCTACCTTGTTCTCCTCATTGGTTGGCTTGTAACTTTGTGTGGAGTGGCTAGAGTCAGTATCAGTGGTTGCATGAATGAACAAGACTTTATTCATCTTGTGTGTTTGCCCTTTTGTGTGTTTTTGGGACAGGCAGGAATTAGGCTTTATGGTCAGCCAGCTCCGCAGCTGCAGCTCTATTGAGATGTTGCCCAGCATGGATTTGTGGAACTGGCTGTGCCCTTTGTAGCTGACAGGAATTGTGCAGTTATGTGTATGGCTTCTTATTTTATTCTGTCTGCTTAAATTGCAGCCGTGCTATCAGACTACGAAAGTGCTGAGGAGTCTGAAGTAAGTATCCTAAAACTAATGCTCGTTAAGAGGTTTGTGTATGCTTAGAAATCGTTCAATCTGCTTTGTTGCTATCTACTAAAAGTCAGTCTATCCAAAACTGGTCGTTCTGCTTTGCTCGGCCTACTGTATGTCACTCAAGCAGATATGTATTGCTCCTGACAGTCCCTCAGGACAGTCCCTCCTGATGTCTGTGTTAGAGGGCCCACCATAGTAAAAATTCACATTGTAAGACCTGGCACTTTTATAAATCGGGCACCCGACTAATTCCTTCTATTTCTGATTAGCTTCAGAAGCTGGGGTGCTGACTGCGCTACAGGTAACAGCTGAAATCACCAGCACACATGAAATGCAGTTTAAATCTTATTAATGATTTATTGGAATGTCACATTGTGCCATGTATGCTAACGTTTCGGGATCGCGCAGGGACTCTTCATCAGAGCAGCACAGTGACAATTGGTATGAGTGAGTTACATCCTTCTATGCATATATCAAACCCAGTGCATAATCAGAATGACCTCAGATGTCATGATGACATCATATCCAGCCAAAAAAATTCAAAAGCGTGGAATAGCATGCCCAAAACATATTTGTACAGACATCCATAAACAATTAGTCATGGTTGTAAACTTACATTATTTTTGTAGACGCACCACCCGTAGTATCGGGAGTGTGGTGTCCTTCTGTTGCCATAATCACCCAAGTAGCATGGAGAGCGGGGCAGTCCCGAACGGGATCTAGGCATAAAGCCGTGCAGCCCCACTGCAAGGAAAACTTTTACTTTACCTGAATTTGATCTTTTAAAGTAAACTTGTGCTCTCCAGAAGTATATATTTGTTTCCCTTTGTTCCCCTGCAGCTCTTTTTATCCGCTTGGAGCAAAGGAAAATGTGAGCTACAAGCTGCTAGTCTTGGCCTATAAAAAGATCTGGACTTCCTGTGTGACAGCAGTGATTGTCCTGGCATTTCCACATGGAGAATCACATGCCTTTCATACCTGGAAGTACAAGGTGTTTCCCTTGGATCCTGGCAGATTGACAGGGGAGCAAAGGAAAGAGAAGTCCATTCTTGGATGGTGAATTAAAGTAATACTTCTAAGCTCGAGGTTTAGTGTATTTCTGTTACTTTAGGTGACAGGTTTCTAGGCTAAGTTTATGAGTTCTACTGTTTCCCCCCCCAGGTGGAAGCTGGTCACGTCAGTGAGGAGGAGCCCCTCAAAGCTACCTTAAAACCAGAAAGCAATGCTGCCGAGACTACCACCACCACCACCACCACCACCACTCCCCCCACTGCCCCCACAAAAGAGGAAAAGCTTAAGACAAAGGAATCAGTGACAGGGGAGCGTCAAAGTGGAGATGGACAGGTATAATAAAAATGCATATTTTTTCATACTTTTTCTGTAGCTGTTTCGTCCATTGTTGGTCATTGGAACTGTCCTTCATGCATCATTCAGCATCACATGCAGATGAGTTCTTCCTAATATCCCACCAGACACCTTACAAGCCACAGAAACCCATTCACACCAGCGAGCACACGTTATGACGCACATAACACACACATGCTGGTGTGCTTTGTGCATGCACGCTCCAATGAGTTGTTAATATGCATTGTAGTGTTTTTTTTTTTTTTTTAACTCTACTTGAATAATAACACTTTGCTTAATGAAATAGAAATGCAGCATTTAATGCAACGCACAACATTATATACTGTGTGCCCTGTTCACAGATCAACGCAGTTCAATGCACCTGCCGTGAACAAGCTCCTAGTCCAGGGCTAGGCAACCTTGGCTCTCCAGCTGTGCTCGAACTACAAATCCCTTCATGCTTCTTCCTTTGGGAGTCATGCCCGTGGCTTGCAATGCCTTATGGGACTTGTAGTTTCAGCACAGCTGGAGAGCCAAGGTTGCCTACCCCTATCCTAGTCTATATACCTTTTAGCTTTTGTCGAGTAATGTGTATGCTTGCAGATGCATTGCTCTTTAAGAGTTTATGGAGCCCAGATGAGATTCTGTCCCAAAGCTTTTTTGTGCACAAGCCTTGAAGTCAGGCATTGTTCATGGTCCCTTAATTTAAAAGGTCCCTAGTAATAGGAAAAAAAAGAGTAAGAAATTACAATGGAAGTTGCTGTAGGTGTCATGCAGTGCCTCCTCCATTTGTATTGTGTTTATATCCTTCCTGCTTTATGTTGCCGTGCTGGTTGCTTCTGATCATAGCAAGGAGCAACAGGTTCCTATTAAGAGTTGTACATGTTACTATACCCGGTAGCACCCGGTGAGGGGGGGTAATGGAAAACTCTTTTCTATGTGTGTGAGTCTTTCATTATTCACTATTTGTGTTTATCTGCTAGGTTGGCATTAGAGGATCCAATGAGAAATATTTCAGCAAGTTGGGGTATCTGCTAATGCATTGGTTACATGAATGGAGTGGGGTCAACATTAGTAGTAATGTCTCATTGGGAAGATTTCCACACCTTTCCTGTGATCTCTTTAAAGCTGCCCATACACCTTACAACCATCGCACAACTTTTGTTGTGCGATGGTTGTAAGGTGATTTAAATTTCGTACGGTCTGCCCATCTTGGACAGGCAGATCGTACATGCGATTATCGCAAGCCCTCCCCGCTGAGGGGCGGGCTTCCGATGATTGCAGTGCTGAGCGGGCAGTGTGCGCTTGCGCACACCGGCCTGAGTGGCATTCGTTTTCCAGCGTGCTCGGAAGACGAAAGTCGTGCGACCTTACAGTAGAAACGGTTGCACGCCTTCCATACACCTGCCGATTATCGTACGATCGCGTGAAAAGTTTGGCTTGGCTTTAATTAAGTTCTTTTGATATATCTGAAAACATTTTAGTTTGTGAGTAACCTGTCTCATTCCCAGGAGAGTACAGAGCCTGATGAAGTCAAGGCCTCTAGGAAGAGTCAGAAGCAGTTGGATGACGATGAAGACCGGAAGAATCCTGCATACATCCCTCGTAAGGGGCTCTTCTTTGAACACGATCTACGTGGCCATACAAATGATGAGGAAGTCAGGTGAGATTGCAATCATTGATAATTATCTAGTTGGATTCATTATTGATGATAAAAAAAAAGACCAGGGTTGTTAGATTTTAAAACAAGTGGGGTGATCTAAAAAGAAATGTGAAATGAAAAATTACAAACAGTACTACAGAATTCCCCTGCCCTCTGTGCTTCTATATAAACACAACACCAAAAGGTAAAACTGTTGTTTTTTTTTTCCCAAGTTTAAAAAGATGTTATAAATGATTTCAGTGAAATGATGCAGTTTTATTCAGGGGTAATTTTTTAACAGAGAGGAGATAAATCTATGCTGCACGCCACAGTGCTTACTTCACACTGCCTCTGAATTTAATGAGTCATTCATAAAATGCAGGCCGCGGTATGGAGCATTATGCTGCAGAGTACACTCCATGATCGGAGGAGAACCCATTAACAGATCATGTGACTTGGGCTCTTTTTCACACACCATATATTTTTTTAAACCATACATTGAAATAAGTGGGGCTTCACTTCCGTATGCAAACACTGTGGGACAGGAAGTGCCAGCAAGGACAGAGGAGTCAGCGCTGGATCGGAGACCTGCAGATGCTGGAAAGAAGGCTGAAAACGACAGGAAAGAAGATCAGATTAAGAGACATCATTTAAGCTAAGTGCTTTAATTAACATTGGGGGAGGGAAACATTTTTTTGCTTTTAATGTCACTTTAAAGCACATAGGTGTCCTTTATAAAAATAAATGTAAACAGTGGTATGGCTTTGGTAAGGTTTCTCTGTTAGGCTGTGCATGGGCTTTATTAGTCACTAGCAAAACAACGTAGTGCTATGTTTCCTGATCCTGCTTCTCCTCTCTGCACATACTGCAGCAGTTCCTTTACGGTGGTATGGTTGCAGCACTGAGTCACTCTTTAGACCTCTTCACCCCTTTTAAAAAAATGTACGTCAGGGTCTGTGCCATAGCAACATGCAGTATATCTGGAAGGCATCTCTGAGAACTGTCGCCTTACCCTTCCCAGCAGTGCCCCTACCTGTGAACCTCTTTACTGGCACACAGCATTTGTTGCTATGGCACAGACCCTGACTTACATTTTGTAATCTCTCTTCCATTCGGGTGAATTTGGTGACCTGTGTGCTGTGATTACCATCATACTTGCCTATCAGGGAAAATTCTATGATCACAAAGGTGGTTCTCTATACTTCAGCTATACTGACCCCTGCAATTTCCCACAATGTGAAGACTTGAGGCACAGCTGAGTTGATGTTTGTGTTGTCCCCTGAAACAGTCTACATCTGTACATTAAAGGGTTTGCCTTAAGGTCTCGTTCACACCTAGGCCTATTGCATATGCGCGTCAGTTGCGCATTTTTTTACCGCGATTCGCGGTAAAAAAAAAGTCGCGCGACTGTCGCGTGTTTCCGAAGGCTACTTGGCTGTATCCCAATGGAAACGCGCAACAAAACGGCCCAAAGTAGTACCTGTACCTTTTCAGGCGTGGGCCGTTTTGTAGCGCTTTAGGGACGGGAGGAAATACGCCAAGGTGGGAATGAGACCATTCAATACAATGGGATTTATATTTTTGAGAGTTTTATAGAGCATTCGTCGAGCGTAGAACGCGCTACAAAACGTTCAGGTGTGAACGAGGGCTTAACATCCCCACATTCCTGTCTCCTTCAGCTCCAATATAAGACCTTGCCAGTTCCCTTAAGCACTGCAGATTCTTCTGACTTCTACCCGTACTCATATGATCTCCCATCTCAGGGTATTTGTCTTTAACTGAGGAGGAGTAGACAACCTCATATTGGTTGTCCTTGAAATTCTGAACTGGCAGCTTGAGCACTTGCAGAGATATCTTCCTAATTCTACAAACTGAACACACAATCCTTAGAGGGAAAGCATCTTGATTTTTAATGCTCCCTACACTCTGGTATGCTTTTCATCCTCTTACCAAGTATGTTGTTTCCAAGGGGGCCTTTTTGTGACTCGCCTAAGCTTCCTATAAGAAGCCTACAGTCTTATCGCTCTGCTCAATATTTGCCGTGATGAACATCACCCTGGTTGTGCCCCATCTGGACTGCAAGGTTTCTAGGTTTACGGTCCATCCAATGCTGGTGCTGTTCTGGTCACTTTAATTGCACTGACATCCAGATTTCTAGAACATACCTTTTTTGTACTGTTTTTTGCACATGTCTTGTGTCTAGGTACATGCACATCAATGTTTTAAGGTGAAAGTTTCATGACTTTAAATTTTGCTTTTAGGCCAAAGGGACGCCACGCACGCAAATTGTGGAAAGATGAGGGGCGCTGGGTGCATGATCGGTTTCGGGAGGATGAGCAGGCTCCGAAGTCTAGGGATGAGCTGATTTCCATGTACGGTTATGATATTCGGTCCAGTAAAAACCCGGAGGAAATTCGCCCCCGTCGACCAAGAAAACCAAGGTATACGTTTCTTTGTATGTTTTGTTTTTTTCTCTTGTAGTAATACTCTGGGGACTGTCATTGTCTTGCCTTTTAACTATGTTGACCTTTTGTACTGCTAGTAATGGGTTTGTTGTTACATTTTCTGCCTTGGCAGTAAATCTTTTACCCCCATGCAAGAAAGTGCGGGGTCTTTAATGTACCAGAGCTGTTGAAAACACCACACATGAATGAAGGGTCCTACAACCCCTGGCTGCCACAGCAGAGCTGGACTACCCATGAGAGGACATTCATTTATTGGTGTTTCTGCTCTCAAGAAGTTTTGCCTCTATAACCCAGCTGTGTTGTGCATAGTACAAAGAGCTGTACTGCCAGTCCACACACTTTAAAAAGGCAAGGTTCTGTACTACAACCTTCGGATACTGGATGGCCATGGCCTCCTGTTAAAAGTCAAGGAGCACTTAAAGTCAATTTATGTTTAATTTTACAGCTATAAACTGCAGGCTGACTTCAATCCCTGTAATAAATCAAGGAGTGTCTCGGGACACATAGAAACTGCTTCCTAAAGTTGTTTGTTTTTGCCCTCTCCCACCCCTCTGTGTTCCAGAACACCATCCCACAAGAAAGAAGGCTCATGAGAGATTCTCATTAGACTTTGTGATCACGTGGCCAAGATGGACCAGTGATCGCTCACCATTAAGAGTAGTATACTACTACACGGCCTCGGGGGGAGTTTTTAAGTGCCCAGCCTGTTACATCGACTGACATAGGTGGCAGAAGATGGACTTAACAGGAAATAAGTGCAGTGGTGACTATGAGAAGAGGAGGGTGTTGTAAGTTCATCTTTATTATTTTGTGAAAAGGTGAACTGATCCTTTAGAACAAAATGTATGCACTGAGCACCATAGAGTCTTAATGATCTAACATCTTAGTTTTTCCTGTGATGCTATAAAGCAGTGTTACTTAAAGGAGAACTATGGGAAGAGTGAAATGCATTCATCCCTATAGTTAGAGCCAATGTGTGCCACTGAAGATGTCACACGCCAGCTCTGTAGATCGATAGCTGAGCGATCACAAACAGTTGATTGCTCAGTTGATCCCTAAGGTGAGTGGCAACTGTCAGTCAACGCTCACCTTAGGGATTTACCCTCTCCATTCCTCCAATGCTGATTGGAGGTAGAGATGGGGGAGGAGGCAGGCACAGCTGGCTCTGCCCCTAGAGAGGCAGAGCCAGCTGTCAATCAGGCAGCAGGGTGGATCCAGACAATATTGTCAGGATCTTTCCCGTCTTTAATGCACCTCTGCGCTGTCCGCATATAGTGAGCAATGGTCCGCTATACGCTGAGTTTTGGGTGACAGGAGGACATTAGTAAGCAACCTCCAGTGACCCGATAAAGGTTTGGCCATACTTCCTTTTTAACTGTATTAAACTATGTACAGTTTCGTAGCCTTTCATTTTTGTTATCTTATTTCATGACATTTTAAGAGTTGCTGCTCCCTGCAAGGAGTTTCACACAAATTCTATTTGCTTTTAGAAGCAGGAGGCAAACCATAAGATTACTCTTGCACTGCCAGGTTCTTTGATTTCTTTAAAACCCACACCTCTGTCCATCGTGAAGGCAGCACTGTGCACAAAATGTTACGGCTTTGCTTATTGTGGAGGATGCCGCTATTGTGTCTTGCTTTACTCAACAAGAGTCCATGAACCCATCGCACTCCTGACCGCTAGTTCCATAAGAATTGGTTGGGTGCTGTGGTAGTCAACGGATGGCAACCGTTATGTACATATATAGAAACAGGGACACCGACACTCCAAATGCAGATCAAATTTGTCTATTGACGTAGGTGCCGCACCAGTGTGATATGCTGCATCTACGTCAATAAATAGACAACTTTGATCTGCATTTGGAGTGCTGGTGTCCCTGTTTCTATACATGCTTTACTCAACAGTCCCAATCCTCCTGTCCTAATTGATTTTGCTATGTTCATACTTCCTGTGCCTGTTTAGATGAATCTGTTGCACCTTGTGAATTCAGATAAAAAGGCTTTCTGGTAATTGTAGAACCAGGAAAAGAATAGTCAGGGAAGCTTCATTTGTACAGATGTGGAGGCTTTCTTTCTGTTCTATAGACTGCTGTGTGATTTCATTTTTCTTGGTACCACTTCTTAGTGTATTCCTTTGCAGGTTTGTGAAAGACATTCTTTTCTCATTTCAGATACTCCAGCCCCTCCAGAAGGGAAGAGGAGGAGGAGGAAGAAGAAAAGCCAATCAGGCAGTCAAACCGTTACTATGATTCCAATTCTGTCCCTCCACCCCGAACCTATAACAATCGCAGTGTCCCTAGCAAAGACAGAGCTCTCTCAAACAGGACCTACTCGCGGCCAGGTGGGTACAAGGAAAATCGCCCGGTCAATTACCCACCTGAGAACATTGTTTCGCCACCGCCTACTTTTGAGCGAAGACAGGAATATGCAGGTTACAGAACCCGGAGCGTAGAGCAAGCGCCACTGCCACCAAATGAAGAATCCTCCGAATTAGGAATTCCTCACAAAGCTGAACCGGCAAATGAGAAACCAGCAGCTGATCCATCACCACCACCACCGCCACCTGATCGGCCTGTGGAGAAAAAGTCCTATTCTAGAGCCAGGAGGAGTCGGATTAAAGGTGGGGAGGCTGGCAAGAGCATAGATGACACTACATTCCCTGACTTGCCTCCTCCCCCTCCGCCACAGATGCCCACTGAGGTGGTTCCAGAGCCTTCCCCACCAATACCTGTAGTGAAAACTGGTGGCTGGGAACCTTCAGTAGATGGGGGTTTGACTGGACTAGAGCAGGACCTGTCCCAGGTCAACATTTCAGAACAGAATTGGACCCCTGGACAATCTCCATACGTTTCAACACGTGGTAAGTGTTGCTTCATATTTTTACTTGGGTCACTGTTTTCCATTTGTTTGTACATGATACGTAGCATTGTGTTCCAACTGAATTGGAATGTATGATGTATGTTTTAAATCCTTGGTTCTCAACTGGTGGGACGTGACCCAAAAGTGGGTAGCGACCCCGTTTTCAGTGGGCCGCCGCATGCCTTCCTCTTTTTTAGGTTAGAGGCTCCACAGCCTCACCCTAGCACAGCACTGTCCATTCTTACACTGAGCAGCCATTCAAAATATGCTGCCCGGCTCCGAGTGTTGACTTCAAGTGGGGTGAGCTGGGGATATGGCCGCGAGGGAGCTTCATCTATACGTGCATTTCTTATAGCTTCCTCGCATGCCCTGTAGAGGTGCCTGGACTGGAGTGATATCACATTCGGGCTCCTGGCACCTCTACAGGGCACGCATGGGAGCTGTACAAGCATTGCACATATGGATGGAGTTACAGCACAGCAGCCCAGCACTGTCGTGTGTTCCATTGCAGTACGACTTGGGTCGCGACTTAATGACCAAGGACAAATGTGGGTCATTTGAGACTGAGATTACACCGGTTGAGAACCACCATTAGGACACCAAAACACAGCACTTTGTCAGAGGGAGGTAAATGGGTGCTGATGACCCTCTGAGCTGTGACGGCACAGAATTGGCAGATTCTTTTTTTTCTTTTAACTATTTCTGCAAAACACAAGCTTTTTTTGCTCTGTGCACATTATAGGGTGTTGGGAAACATCACACTTGTTGTATTAATGACTTTTTTGTGAAAATTAGATTTTGCTTGCTCTGTGTAGATTTTCTAAAGAAGACTCGCCACGTCCCACCCTTCCCGCCACAGATCCCACGTTTGCGCCCTCTTGTGTGTGTTGATAGAAGAGCCCCAAGTCTGTGAGGTTCGCCCATACATTTTATAGAAGTACAAATTGTACAAATTGTGTTTTATGAAGTAATAAAATGAACTAGGATCACACTAATTCAGCACTTTATTATTCTGAGTTGCCCCACTCAAGCGGCGGCCATATTGAGTGGGGCACGTGAGATTAATAACGTGCTGGATTAGTGTGATCCTAGTTCATTTTATTACTTCATTGCTGTGCTGTATGTGTATAGGCCAATGTAATTGGATCTGTATGTGCGTTATAATTAATCGAAAATAATTGCTAAAAAAATTTTTTCGATTAATCGAACACGAAAACTTTAATCAGTAACAGCCCTATTTTTTTTAACTATATTTCTAATCTGATCGATGTCTTCACTAGCCCATAGGAAACCTTGGAAGGTTGATCAAGCAGTGCCAAGCCTAGTTTTTACAGCATAGGTTGGAATGTACAACTTCAGCTGCTTACATCACTGAGTCTAATAGTTCAGGGTGGTGGTTTACACTGAAAGTAGAATGGAAGCCTACACTTTAGTTTTGGATGGATTAAAGAAGAGTTATAAACAGTCAGCTTTTTTTTTTTTGGTCCTATTGGAGTGATTTCTATTCACTTCCTGTCTGATAGCCACAACATGAAGTGAGAGGAAATCCCTCCAAAGAGAGGGTAACTAGTGTCCCCATTGGAAGAATTCCCATCTATTCCTGTTCAGGCTGGATCTTTCAGTGATAACGATTACCAAGACAAATACTGAGTGGAATCTCCCCAACGGGGACACTAAAGATTCTATCCAAAATTTAGGGGGGAGGAAAAAGGGTTTTGTCTTCAGAACTGCCTTCATTCTTCATGGCGTAGACTCAACAAGGTGCTTAAACCATTCCTTAGAGAGTCTGGTCCATATTGACTTGATGGCATCACACAGTTGCCACAGATTTGTCGACTGCACATCCACGATGCAAATCTTCCGTTCCAACACATCCCAAAGGTGCTTCTCTAGGATTGAGATCTGGTGACTGTGGAGACCATTTGAGTACAGTGAACTCCATTATGTTCAAGAAACCAGCTGGAGATGATTTTGGCTTTGTGACATGGTTCGTTATCCTGCCAGAAGTAGCCATGAGAAGATGGGTTCACTGTGTTCATAAAGGGATCAGCAACAGAACTGTGGCATTTAAATGATGCTCCATTGGTACTAAGGGGCCTAAAGTGTGACACCAAAATATACCCCACAACACGTTACCACCACCTTCTGCATCAAGGTTGGACGTGTTGTGTATTCAGAGATGCTCTTCTGCATACCTCGGATGTAACAAGTGGTTATTTGAGTTACTGTTGCCTTTCCATCAGCTTGAACCAGTCTGACCATTCTCCTCTGGCATCAGCAGGGCATTTTTTGCCCAGAGAACTGACGCTTACTGTATATTTTTTCTTTCTCCGGCCATTCTCTGTAAACCCTAAAGATGGTTAACCGTGTGTGTGAAAATCCCAGTAGATCAGCAAGTTCTGAAATACTCAGACCAGCCCGTCTGGCACCAACAATCAAGCCACATTCAAAGTCACTTATATCCCCTTTCTTCCCCATTCTGATGCTCGGTTTGAACTTCAGCAGATTACCTCGACCCAGTCTACATGGCTAAATGCATTGCGTTACTGCCATGTAATTGGCTGATTAGACATTTGCGTTAACGAGCCGTTGAACAGGCCACCTAATAAAGTGGCCAGTGAGAGCGCACACACACACACACACACACTTTTTAAATCATTAAAGAAAAATGACCTATTGCTAAGATGCGCTTGTCATTGGTCAGCAGCGGCAGGAGCGCGCTGATCAATGAGTACTCGCCACATGCGAGTAAAATTGAAAATACAGAGCGCAGAGCTGCGCTGCGTAACAGATCAGGGTACGGGTCGACACCGGCAAAAGGAAAGGAGCATTCGCCCAAAGGTAAGTATAGCAAGGGAAGGAGAGGGGGCCAGATTGGAGGGTCCAAATTGACCTGGGAAAGGGGAATTACCCTTTAAACTTGCATTGTACATAATATTGGTCAGTGTTCTGTATTGGATTCATAGGATGAAGATTTCTTCTCTGCAGAAAATGAATGACTACAGTGTGTGTATGACAAGTGCACTTTGATTGGTCTATTTGGATCTGCATACACTGGGTATTCCTAGGGAGGGAGAGGGGCTGGTGAGCGAGCAAATATAATTGATGATGTGTTTAATCCCTTTTTAAACAATTTTTGACAGGTATTCCAAATCACATTCACATGCCTGGGGGACCTCCGCAGTATGGCCGCATGGAGGGAATGGTAAGTAGCTCCTGATGACTGATGTCAGATGGGACTAGTGTGGGAAGAGTTTCTCCATAAAGTGCAATAAAAGTTTAATAAAGCGGTGTCTACATGGCTGCCTAGTTGGGTAGATGTGTGTAATTCTAAGGACGGGCTGAAGGGTATTTCACCAGATATTCTGACATGTAAAACAGTTCCCATAAGTATGTAGTTCTGTGTCCTGCTTATTGGATGCTGAGGATTTATTTATTTTTTGTAACCTGCTATGTAGGCAGTTCAGAGTGGCCGTGTCAAGAGGTATTCCTCCCAGCGTCAAAGGCCGGTTCCGGATCCTGCTCCCATGCACATCAGCCTTATGGAAGGTCATTACTATGATCCACGTGAGTGTCTCGCTGACGTCTTCTGCTCTTTATGTGTTGCAGAATCATTCCTCTGATGTGCTCATTTCTTCTTTTGGTTTTTCAGTCCAGTTCCAGGGACCAATATATACTCACGGTGATGGCCCTTCCACTTTGCCCCCTCAGGGCATGCTTGTACAGCAAGAAATGCACCTTCCCCACCCAGGTACATGGTTTTCGAGGATTTAAAGATTTTTCCTATGTTAGGTTTAAAGGAGAACTATGCTGCTGCAGGAAACATAAGTGGCTTGTTTCACACACATATATATATAATCCCAACAGTGCTGTCTTCATACATCAAGTAGGAATGCACCGATACCAAGTACGGTACTCGGTACATGTACAGATATTATTCAAGCTCCAAGACTAGACTAGATTAGAGAAAAATTCAAGAGTTAGGAGGCAGCTGTCATTTGTAAGGAGCACACGGAGCTCCTGGGATTAGTACATCTCTGTTTTAATGTATGATTTGTTTTTATAAATATATATCATGGATTCACCGATACCAGTTTTGCGAGTACGAGTACTGATACTTGTCCAAGTCCTCACAGATACAAGTACTGATACATTTTTGTTTATTGTCATGTGACAGCTTTTCTAAAACAATACAGACTAATGATTTCAGAACAGTGGTAGAGTGCCAGAGCCGGGTCTCAGCTGCAACCCTGGTAGTTCGCATGAAAATGTCAAGTATCGGCACTGGTATCGGTGCATCCCTAACGTCAAGCGTGCCAGATAACACAGAACCATTTGTAGCAGGGTATGGCCCAGATAAGCTTGTAATCAAATGCCCCTACCACAGTTGTATACACACTAGAGCCTATTTAGTCACAAGCAAATTAAGGCGGAAGTAAAATGAAGCAATAAATGAAAAATAACACCCCCAGGAGCTTTCAGCCATAATGTTCTAGAATGCACAAGCATATTGGCACATTATGGCAGACATACCTGCCAAAGCAGTCCGCTCCTGTGCTGTGCTCCTCCTTTGCCCGCTGCTTCCATCTTTGTCTTAGTCGTCTTCTTCAGCCGCTTTATTGGCCGGGCCCCGATGATGTAGTTCCTGCATATATGCACTGGAGCTACTTTATCTTGACATGAAGAAGCCAACGCACTGAGCTGTGGATGCGCAGCAAGAAGTTTTTATGGCAGAAAAGACTTGCACAAGCTCTTCTGCCATAGAAAGCCTGCTGGTCTGCAATTTTTATCTTTACTTCTACTTGAGGTTAGAGATATGTTTTTGGATTGTGGGAGGAAACCAGCAGAGACAGAAGATCAAAATAGATAACTTGGTAATGTCCTAAGTCGTATTGTACACAGGACTACAGTGCTTCAGGGTCAGAGTATTGTATCCACACAGACTTGTTTTTATCACAATGTACATTCGTCTGTATTTTGGAATTATCTAATCAAATTTCTTTTTTTTTTTTCAGGTTTACACCCGCACCAGTCTCCTGCCCCCATGCCTACCCCAAACCTTTACCCTGCACCAGTCTCTATTCCTCCAGGTCAGCCTCCCCCCCAGCAGCTGCTACCCCCTCCGTACTTCACCGCTCCCCCCGGAGTCATTAATTTTGGCAACCCAGCCTACCCTTATCCCCCTGGAGCATTACCCCCTCCTCCACCAACTCATCTCTACCCCAATCCACAGGTGAGTAGGTGTTTATCACAAGAAATTGCCTTTTAAAACGTGTGTTTAAACCCAGGAACAAAATAGTATTATGTTGCAGCTTTTAGATGTGACATCTGCATTAATTTTCTGTCCTTTTTTTTTTCTTTCTTTTTTTCACCTGCTGATCCCGCCAGTAACACTTTGTCTTAGGGTGACAACATTCACTCATTGTACTGTATTATTGGACAAGACTATGAACACCAGCTCCTCTACATAACTTAGAAGGGAGGGGATCTGTAGTACTCGGATATAGCTAGGTACCTGGTGCAGCACCTACAGAAAACACATGGTGTGATTAGCTGACAAGATTTCTGGCCGGATCAACAGATTAAATATAACAAAATGTTTTCAATTGTATATCTAAAAAGTCCAAAAGGAGAATTTTGTTTTAACAGTGTTGCATTGCCGTTACGTTTTCAGGCGGTACATAGACCATGCCTTGTTGGGTTGTGGGTGCACTTAATATTTGTTTATTGTGAGCTACAGCTGAATTGACACTGAGTCCCCATTCACGCCAGGGCAACAGCGTTCCAGCGCTTTTTTTGTTGTGCAATTTTAATGCGTTTTACATGCGTTTGCAGCTCATTTTCAGTTGTCCAATGGAAAGCAGTCTCGGCTATAAAAAGCGCAAAAACACGCTGATCGGCTCGTTTCCATTGAAGTCTATAGCGCAAAACAAGCTGATAAGTGCCTTACATGAAGCTCATGGACTATTTTAAACAACGGGCATATTGTTACACGCGATTCAGCTCCTTTGCATGAACGGCCCCCTTAGGAATACATTGGATTTGAATTTGCATGCGTTTCAGCGCAGAAACAACAGCGACGAAACACCCTGGGGTGAACGGGGCCTAAAGGTTAACAATCCATCCCTGCTGGTAAGGGTAGATCCCTCTAGTCAGTGATTGCGCTATATAAATCCTGTATAATGTCACCAGCACAGCAAGTGATGGAAGATCCAAACTTTTATTGCTGTCACCAGAACAGGATTTTTGGGGGAGTCTTAATAAAAAGTGATATTTGTCTAAAAGGGCGGCTTTAAAGAGATTTCTTCTCAACTTTTTTTTGTCTTCAGGAAGTGAAGGGAAATTTCCCAGTAGGTTAAAACAACAGGTACTTAAAAGCCTGGGTATCATTTTTCAAATGTGATTGATTTAATTCTGCATTTCAGTCATCCAGGTTAGAAGTGAAATGTTCTATTCATTCAAGCCCACCAACATGCACACCTATGTATTATTCGAGTTCAAGTACTCACCCAAATACTCGTTATCGGTGCATCCCATGTTAGAACCTCTGTCACAACTTTGGAAGGTGACTTCTCATGACCTATTTGATTGCCAGACCCAACAGCAAGTGAGAAGAAAGCTCATGGCCAACCTAGCATAGAGCCTCTGTCAGGTTTTAAGGTTTCTCCTCCCTTCCACTTCAGGTGATGAATTTCACAGTAGGAAGTAAAGGGAAATCTCTCCTACAGGGGCACATACAGAAGTTAGAACCTAATATAGCTTTTAACCCTACCCTGCTCTATCTGAAAAAAAGGCTTGGGCTTGATTTAGGCTTTTCTTAAGTGTTTTCTAAAGTCAGTTTAAGTTCGATTGTGTGCCAATAACTAATAACCCTCTTTTGTATTGTATAGGTTAACAATTTAGGAAACGTGAAGATAGACGGCAGTGAACAGTCTGTGTTTCTTCTAGAGTTGGCAGTTAACATTTTCAGATCTAGTTACTGTAATAATATGAATAACTAAAGGCTTTTAAATCCGCTTTCTCTAAGGATGTTTTGCCTGGAAAGGTAGTTTCAGAAAAGGAATATGAAGTAATGATACTTGGCGCTACCTGGTTATGCAAAGGTGTTCTTGTTTTCCTGTGTTAGGCACAACCCCAGGTGTTTGGAGGAGTGACATATTATAACCCCGTACAACAGCAAGTGCAGCCAAAACCTTCCCCGCCCCGACGGACTTCACAGCCAGTCACTATAAAACCACCTCCACCAGAGGTAAGATGGATGGGTGGTATTCACCTCTTTACATGTTTAGAGGAGAAAATAAGATGGGGAAAGTAGTAAGAATGTCTTTAAGATCGTTTGTGCTAGCAAGTCATAAAGTAGAACTTCAGGGGAAGAAAAAATAAAAAATCAGATTCTGCTCTGTTTGCTTTATTTGAGGTGTTCCCCTTGGCAAGTCCTGCCTACTACTAGACATTGCCATTGTTCCAGGTTGAATGGTAGAGACAATCTTGCAACCCACTTCCTTTGAGATGCGGAGACAGTTGTCATGGTTCAGTATAAACACCAGCCACTAGTTCTTACTGTGTCTACTGGCAAACCCTATTTAACGGTCTCTCCAACTGATGCAAACAAATGCCTTTGCCCCAAAAGTTGCAGCTGCAGACCGCTTGTTTCTGCCCACAAACCCTGAGAAAGGAGAATTATGTGACCCCTGAAACACATTCTTATGTCATCTAATCATATGACTTGCCCATTCCCTTGGTGCTTTGTACTTCAGGTTTTCATCCAAGGTTCACCCAGCTTTTGGTAGGTATTTGAGGACCTGGGAGCTGCCTATAAACTGCACTTTTGTTACACGTCTAAAATATCAGACGGCAATTTTTTTCCAGCTCTAAAGCCACTCCAAACTACACTTGCCAATACAGATTCAATTGCTTTAATAATTTGGGTCATTGACCTATAATAAGTATGTACATCAGAAGGTGTGAGCTCGCTCTGGCTTTATAAGCTGCATGCTTGTTCAGGGTCAGTATGTACATCAGAAGGTGTGAGCTCGCTCTGGCTTTATAAGCTGCATGCTTGTTCAGGGTCAGTATGTACATCAGAAGGTGTGAGCTCGCTCTGGCTTTATAAGCTGCATGCTTGTTCAGGGTCAGTATGTACATCAGAAGGTGTGAGCTCGCTCTGGCTTTATAAGCTGCATGCTTGTTCAGGGTCAGTATGTACATCACACTAAGGCCATTGAAGCCATAGATAGCCAGACATTTATTATTTTAGACTAGTGACTAATGTCACTAGTCAGCTCCTGCCTTGTTAATCTGTCCCCCTATGATCATGTTTGCATATAGTGCAGTGAGGTCTCGTTCACACCTAGGTGTATTGCATATGCGCGTCTGTCGCGCGGGTTTTTTACCGCGATTCGCGGTTAAAAAAAAGTTGCGCGACCGTCGCCTAAGGCTACTTGGCTGTATCCCAATGGAAACGCGCAACAAAACGGCCCAAAGTAGTACCTGTACCTTTTCAGGCGTGGGCCTTTTTGTAGCGCGATAGGGACGGGCAGAAATACGCCAAGGTGGGAACGAGACCATTCAATACAATGGGATTTATATTTTTGAGCGTTTTTGTAGAGCGTTAGTCGAGCGTAGAAAGCGCTACAAAACGTTCAGGTGTGAACGAGGGCTATGAGCCATAGAACCTGGCAGAGCTAAGTCTTAAAGGCAACAAGAAACTTTGCGTGGAAGAAAAAAGAATAGAAGCTAAAAAAAAGAAAAGTGTATCATCACAATCTTTATACTGTACAACTGTATAGCTTGGCAAGGATGTTGGGTTATAGAGTGTGATCATCACCGAGGTAAATCTCTTCCTGTATATTTGTTTTGTCCTTAATCATCCTTATGTAATTTCAGCATTTTATATCGCTATTCCCAGGAAAATAGAAACTTGAAGATGACAAAAGAGAAGGCGAGTTCCTGAGCTCCGTATTACAAGACGCACCTTCTACCGCCTCCTTTCCGTCTCTCGGAGTTCAGACCAGTGTTTTTATTATGAATAGAAACTCCTTCTGGCTGACCAGATTTCTGGCCAACCGGATTTATGCAAGTTTTCCGTACATGAGAAAATGTCTCGCCGTTCACCAATATTATTGTGTATTCTTCTGTACTTTGGTAGACCGTTTCCTATATAATGTTACGTGACAGGATGGTTGCAGGAAGCCATTTTGCCATGGTGAGCCTCCTTCTTGTGGAATTTGTACAGTTTTGCCATGTAGAAAACAAGTGCTGCTGATTAAAAAAAAACAAAAACGTTGTCCCCCCTCTAAAGTATTTATTTTACCAAAACACATCTCCAAGTATTTAGAGTGAAATACCAAATATTTCCTGTTTAGGATGAATTGTTCTCTTCATTGAACAGACGCTCTCACTCTTCCCAGTCAGAAGAAAGTCATGGTGCTTGCAGATAGTCCTTTCACCCAGTTATACTTCCCGAAATACGCCCCAGTGTCGGCTCCCTGCACCGCTGGAGCGATTGGTAATGGAGCAAGGCTTTTAGGTAAGAGGGTGCGCAGAAGTACCCCCATATGACAGCGCTTAGGTCTAACTGTCAAATCAGCAGGCCCAAAAACTGTTAAAGAGATGACATCAAGGTCCCTCATATAAGCTCGGATACCAGAGCATTGACACATGGGACAGTGTAAGAGGTCCTAGTCATGTGTAAGCTCCTACCAGAGCAACTTGGACATAACACCAGTCTTGTTCTGTGGGTGAACAGGGTGGCTATGGGCAAGGGCAAAGCACAGGTTTTCTTTTGAGGTACTCTCATAAAGCTTGGGCACCCCACAGATGCCTCCATTTTGTAGCCTAAAGGACCAGGCCAGATGGGGTATGTTAGGTAAAAGTTTGGATACCAAAATTTTGCTGCTGAAGTCCCTGTCCGTATATAATTCAACATAATGAAATGCTGAAGTTGACTTTTGATTGAACTAACGCTGATCATACACTGGCCATTGTCACAAATCTGACTAGCTTTCACAAATTAAACTGACCCAGTGAGTCCAGGCAACTTACCAGCAATAGGTTCTATAAAAACCATGATCAGCACAGTTGGCAGTAGGTTGTCTTGATACTTTCGATCATCAAGCCGGTTGAAAGTGGTTAAATGTCTGCATGTATGTTCAGCATTCTACTTGAATAGAGAAGCAAACTGCAACTGAAAAAGAGAATTCTGATGGCTATTTTGTTGAAGCTTTTACCATTTCTTTTTTATTCTTCCCATTTGGAGGAAAGAAGATTCCCTATTAGTGATTACTTTCACCATCGTCCATTTTATATTTGGTTCTGTAACTTGCAGGGTGAACATAGCTCATGGTGCTTCGCAGGGACTGTATCTAGAATTTATGGGTGATTTGAATTGTTGCCAGAAACAAGCCAAGAGTGGAACTTCGGGGGCAGTTTTGAACTCAACAAAGCACAGGAGGGGTATACACTAACACAAGGGGCATTTAAAGTGACACTAAACTCAGGAGTTAAATCTTAAAAAATGCATTCAAGTACGTTTAAAGGAGAACTATGGGGTCAGGGCTTTTCCCCATAGTTCTCCTTAGGGTAACGGGAGGACACAAACTAGCGTCCTCCCGTTACCCTAAGCTCGGTATACCGCGAGCTACAGGTCGCGTTATTCTGAGACGCCGGAGCGGATCCCGACAATGTCGAGATCCGCCCATCTGCGTGAGTGACAGCTGGCTCTGCCTATCTAGAGGCAGAGCCAGCTGTACCCGCCCCTCCCCCGTCCGTTCCGCCAGTCAGCGCTGGTGGATCGGAGGGGGGAGTCCATCCACTCCCCTGTCCCGGCAGAGAGCCGTGAACGGCTCGAGAGGTGGGCAAACGCCGGTATGTGTTTGCTCACCTCCCGATCTACTAAGCTGATCTGTGACAGTCTCATTGTCATAGGTCGGCTAGAACTATGAGG